CATGTGGCCATCCTGGGTTTGATTCCTGGAACTACATATCATCCACCAAACCATCCAGGAATGAGTCCTGAGTACCACCAGGTATGGCCCAAAAGTTTTTAAAAATCAAGGAAAATAAAGTAAATTTAGATCCCTGTTTTATAAATGTTTAAACATTTAAAATGTCATAGGCACAGAGGCATAACATACTGACGCAGAATGCCTTCCGTACAAGAATAAAGTCATAAGTTCATACCCCAGTTTCCCATATGCACTGAGCACAATCCTAGCAATGCTTCTATTTGAGCCAGGCAGCTTTGCTGTCTATAATCCCTGGCTCTGAAAATGTTTTCTGGCCACACCAAAATCAGTTGTATATATGTAAGTATATGTGCTGCCGAACCAGCTCCCGGAGGAGAAGAGCGCAGTCTCCTGCCCCCGCGCGTGGCTATTCCTCGCCGGGGCCCCTTGGAGGGGAGCGGGTTGAGCTTTCCTCCCTGCCCTGGCCAGGGCCCCGGCAGCCGAAGACCTCCAGGACCAGCCACCACCATGCTGAGACCACTCTCTGCACACCTGAAGGTACCAGCAGAGGGACAAAGCCACGTGGGTTCTGGGGCCGAGATCTCAAAGCCTACTTGGATTGGAGTCGAGCATCCTCCACCCAGATCCTCCAAATTCCAGTAGGCGGGGGTCACACCCACCAACTGGCCCCCTGGCGCCGTGTAATCCCATCAGAGGCCAAGACTCTGAGACTATAAAAACCAGCTCCCGGAGGAGAAGAGCGCAGTTTCCTGCCCCCGCGCATGGCTATTCCTCGCCGGGGCCCCTTGGAGGGGAGCGGGTTGAGCTTTCCTCCCTGCCCTGGCCAGGGCCCCGGCAGCCGAAGACCTCCAGGACCAGCCACCACCATGCTGAGACCACTCTCCACACACCTGAAGGTACCAGCAGAGGGACAAAGCCACGTGGGTTCCGGGGCCGAGATCTCAAAGCCTACTCGGATTGGAGTCGAGCATCCTCTACCCAGATCCTCCAAATTCCAGTAGGCGGGGGTCACACCCACCAACTGGCCCCCTGGTGCCGTGTAATCCCATCAGAGGCCAAGACTCTGAGACTATAAAAACCAGCTCCCGGAGGAGAAGAGCGCAGTCTCCTGCCCCCGCACCTGGCTATTCCTCGCCGGGGCCCCTTGGAGGGGAGCGGGTTGAGCTTTCCTCCCTGCCCGGAACCGCGCGGCCGCATTCGCGGCTGCGCGACATCTTATTATGACATCTCATTCCTACTTTGACAAACTGGCAGGCTCCCGAATGTAGCCTGTCCACATGGCAGAGTCTGGCAAACTCCCCGTGGCGTACCCAATATGCCAAATACCAGTAACAATGATGGGTCTCATCCTCCTAAAGAGCCTTGGAGGGCTAGGGCTAGGATGAAGGAGATGTTACTGGGGCCTGCTAGAGGCAATCAACGAATAACAGAATGATCTGTGATCTGATATGTAAGTACCACAGAATGGGTATGACCCTTGGAGAGAATAACAACTAAAATGATGTGTGTGCCATAGCCAAGAAGTATGACCCTGGCCAAACATGTCTGAGCACTGCAGTGATCCTGTACAGACATTACAACCATAACTTGGGTATTTCAACTACAGTGCAAAATGCAACTAAAGGAGTGGGAAGCTCACTGAATACCAAAAATTATTGTGCAAGTACTACAACCTGATGTGCTTGGTGAATACCACAACTTAAAATGTGGGAAGATCACTACTGGTCATCACAGCTCTGAAGAGTAACAATATCAACAAAAACAAAAGTGGGGAGGAACTAATATATTTTGAGGGCTAGAGAGAAAACTAGATAAGATGTTTGATTTGTATGCTACCAACCCTGGTTCAATCCTCAGCACTGAATATGGTCCCCTAAGTATGATCAGGAGTGATCTCTGATCATAGATCCAGGAGTATGACCAAGCATGCTCGTAAGCCCCACATATATTTGAAAAAATGTCAGGAGATTAAGGACTTTCTTTCAAAAGTTTTCAAATAAAAACCCCCTTCCCCACTCCCTTTCTGTCTAGGCCTCAGAAGTTTCCATACCCGACCTCTACCATTTCAATGGGGCCAGATCCACATCTCCTGAACTGCTTATTGTTCCACCCCTTCAGATGAGAATAATACCCTAGCTGACATCTCTGATACCTCCTCATCAAACTTCACACTTATCAGAGTTATATTTTCTATCACTGGGTGAAAATGGGCAACGAAGGAACAGCAATCACCAGTCTAACTCCTCAGAAAACCAGGGGGCAAATATTCACCTTCATCAGAGCAAAGACAATGGGAAAGACATGAAAAGTCCACCAAGTTCAATGAATGAAAACAGTAACACAGAAAGGTCAATCAAGCACCAAGAAGTTCAGTAAATCCTCAGGGAAGGACTATACTGACAACACTGTGATATTTAATGAGCTCAGAGAAATGACGACAAGGCTAGAAAAACACAAGAAAGTATGAGATCCCAAATGAGAAACCTACAAGCAGAAGTGGAAAAATAAAGAGTATGGTAAATGATATAAAAATGCAATGACGTTTTGAGCAACAGAACAATAAGAACTGACGAAAAGATTAATGCACTATAAGGAGAGATGTAGGAAACCTCTACAAAACAACAGATGGTGGGAAAAGTTGGAAAATAAATGGACAGCATTCCAGAGGAACAATATAAAAATCATTGGAGTTCAAGAGGAACAAGATAAAAATCCCTGAAGAACAGGAAGACAAATTCTATGAAGAAAAAAATAGTTCAAGAAATCATTGATAAGAAAATCCCACAGTTGAAGAATATAGGCACTGAGATACAAGAGGCCCAAAAAGTCCCAGTGAAAACAATCAAAGAGGAGGACTGTGAGACATGTTTTGCACAGAATGACAAAAGCAAAGGTAGTGACACTTAAAGCAGCAAGATAAAAAAAAAAAAGAGAACATTTTTATAACAGGAAACCCCATAACACCAGGGAGATTTGAGAAATACTCAGTGAGCAGTTAGGCAAATCAAAAGCTCCAAAATTCATATCATTAAAGTTCCAAAAAATCAAGAAAAATGAGTGGAAAGAAGACATGCTTTTAAAAAATGACAGAAAATTTCCAAATTTGATAAAAAGATATAAAGAAATTATAAATGCTTATTAGACTCCAAACAGGATAAATTAAAAGAAGTCTATGTACAGTACACACATATCAAAGCTCTGGAAACTAAAGACAAAAAAGTTTTGAAGAAATTCAAGAAAAACAATGTTTTGTATAGCAGAACATATTTCAAATAAATGTGGAATTCTCATCAGAAGCTATAGGCATAGTAATACATGGACATTAAAATAAAATGAAATAAAACTGCCATGGAGGCAGTGGGTAGGTGGGAAAGGGGGGTATACCAGGGATATAGGTGGTGGGAATGTGCATTGGTGGAGGGATGGGCGTTTGATCGTTGTGTGATTGTAACTCAAACATGAAAGCTTGTAACTATCTAACGGCGATTAAATTAAAAAAAATTTGCAATTCGTATTCTATATTCAGAGGAAGTATTTTTAGGTGATGCAACTGAAATGCACCAAGGCCTAAACAAGGCCGCGACATCTCATAATTTATGCCATTGATACGTCATGAGAAGCACAACACATTTGAGGGGGTGTAAAGTAGAAGGCACCCTATCTTGATGAAAGTTTGTGTGTGTGTGTGTATGTGTATACACATATATATGTTTTAGCATACAAGGCTCAACCTGTAACATGCTAGTGATCTCTTATACAGGGGTTTAATGGCTCCAAGATGAGAAACAACAATTTTCACACACTTTCCGCTAAGAAAATCTTTTTGGATCATTTTTAGTGGATTATTCATAATAAGCAATACAAAATAAATTATTTAGCATCTGCCTTTGGGGCATGCTTGGGTGGTCGAAGAAAATTTGAAATAATGGTGTAATGGTGGTGGGATTGATGTTAAAATATTGAATGTAACAAATTATTGTGAACAACTTTTAAAAACTAAAATTATAAAAAGAAATTTTATATGCTCACAATAACAAATTAATGTTTCATTTACATAGAAAAATATCATGAAAATGTTTTATTTCATTTGGAAACATTTTAAAAGATTTTTGTATGGACATAGATTTTAACTTGTTGAAGTACATATCGGTTAATATGATTAATATATTTAAGAACAAATAAAGCATAAGTGGTATTTAAAATAAAATCTTTAGGATCCAAGACAAAAAAAATTTCAAATAAATTAAAACTGATGATAACATGAAAACCATAAAATTAATATAATCAAAATAGAAAACAGGTAACAGGTATTTGATTTATTTGTGGGGGGCACATCTTACTCTGAAGAACAGTAAAAGGGAACCAGCGCTCTGACATATAAGACACATACTCTACTACAGCCCCTTGATTTATATCCTGGTCCTATAATAGATAATTGCTTTCTTGGTTTTGGGGCCATATCCGTCAATGCTCTGGGATTACTCCTGGTTCTGCACTCAAAAATTACTCCTGGCGGTGCAAAGCGGATCATAAGAGATGTTGGGGATTAACCCCATTCTGCTGCATGCAAGACAAGTGCCCTACCCTCAGTACTAATGCTCTGGCCCTACAACAGATATTTTTAAGTAAGTTCTTTCCTACCCATTAAAGCAATCTATAAATTTGTTCTTTTCTGTCATTAATTCAAATACAAACATTGCTCACATGTTTCTAACTAATTCATCAAAAGGTTCTTTTTACTAAAAATCATTGTAATCTCTACTCAGGTGTCCTGGGAACATTCAGTTTAACTCATAGCCTTTATAAATACCTGTGATTTTAGAATCTCTTAATAGATAATTTCATTTCAAATCACAGAACTTTTGAACAGGAGGCATTTCTATAAAAACATAATGGATTGGTTATAAAAATGATACATTTCTCTAAGTAAATTTCCTTAAATAAAACTATTTTGTTTCAAAAAAAGGAAAGATACGTACATGTAAACATAATTCGCTGGGTACAGAAGTTATCATATTCATGTCTCTTTTGAATACAGATATGTTAGCAGGCTGACTCACTGCCACATTGGACAGAATCACAGAGGCTGTCTGTTGAAAATTAGGGGACTGTGTAGGATTATCTTGAATTCCACAGAGACTGATGTCTATGACTTCTGGCATTGGACAGGAAAGGGTATCTTCAGCAGAGGAAGAAAATGAAGAGTCTATGATATCCTTCTGACTCTCAAGATAGATGCTAGATATGTTGTGTTCTTGATAAAGCAAGTTTCTTAATTTTTCATCCAGAGTTTTAATTCGGTTGTCTGTAAACTCCATTTTTGGAGGTCTTTCCCCATCTGATTCCAGGACAGTGTTAGTTAGAAGGGTAGTTGTTTCAAGGCCAGAAGTCTGAATGGAAATGACTTTCTTAGGAGAACTTAATTCAGTATTTGTTGTGGTTTCTCCTTCCTGAGAAATAAATTCTGTGGCCACATTTCTTTGTTGTACCGATAAAGATTTAAACTCTTGATCAGACATAAGTCCTGAAGTTGTAAGAGAGTTACCTGTACCTTGAGTTGACTCACCAGTAGTGACCCTAAGTACATCAGCCTGATTGGCAGGTTGTTGATATGTATATACAGGTAGGAATATGCTTGCTTGGTTTGTGAGTCCCTCAGATTCAACAGGAAGTGCACAAACTGAAGTAGAAGCATAAATGATACTGGCAACTGGTCCCATCATCGATCTGTCCTCTTCCACTTGATAATGTATAACTGGCTCCTTAGTTCTCACACTGGAAAATTCAGAAACCTTACCATCAACTACATCCTTATGTTTTGATTCAGAGGTGGAAAGTACATGCTGACATGAATTTTCTAGAGTGAGCAGTGTGTTCTGTGATATTTTACTGGTACTTGTGCTTCTTGGACCTGGAATAATAACAAACAATGTCTAAGCACTTATTGATCAGTAAAAACCACAAACTGCACTCAAACACAAATGGATAGGAGAAAGTAGCAAATGAAAACATTTCCTAACATGTTTTACAAAAATTAAAAAAATCAGAAAAGATAACTTAAATAAAAAATGAAACAAAATATTGCTATAAGCAAGACTCAAAATATAAATTCAATCTGTCAAGGCATGAAGGAAACCTTTCGATAAACATTACCTTTAAAATAGCTTCAAGGTGGTGGGGGTCATGGCCTCCTGAGCAGAGTGCCCAGCAAGCAGACCCAGGGAACTACAAGACCCCCTCTTGGCTAAGGCACCTCCCGAGCACCTAGGCTAGAGGGAATCCTGGCAAGTCTTAGAGTTGCATGAGTAGTGGGTCTTTAATTCTGCAAAGGCACCTACGCGGCCCCACAGGTACAGTGGTGGCGGGGGTGAATGTGGCCTCCAGGACAGAGGTTGCATTTATTTTCCCCTTTTCCAACATTTTGAACTCACATCTCAATCTCCATTATCTAATTCTGAAGAGGACAACCTGACTATTCCAAACACATTAGGCCAATAGTCCACTAACCTATTCCAATCTTACCAAAATAATGGTGAACACAAGAATCTGAATGAGCGTAATATAAAAGAACAAAAAGAACACATTCCCTGAAGCTGCACCAGAGCCCTAACATAAATCACAGAGAAGAACCAAAGAGAAAGTTAGTATTACAGAAGGGGAAAAAGGCGATCAACTTAGACTGAGCTCATCCAGAATCATTTCTCTCAGAGAGAGAGGGGGACATTGATAGTGAACTGGCGGGTCCCACCTCCATACTACTACAGCAAAATGAAGAAATACCTCAATCATCACCTCGAGGTTGGGATGAAAAAAAAGAGCTCAGAAGCCTCAACAGGAAATACCCACGAATACAATCTGTCCTCACCTCGAGTTTTGGATGAAAAAAAGAACTCAGAAGCCTCAACAGGGAATACCCATGAATACAATCTATCTGATAGAGAATTTAGAGATGAAATGTTGAGAATGCTCAATGAGTTCAAGAAAACAGTGGAACAGGCATCCAATAAATTAAAGGAGAACATGAAAGAAACAGTGGAACAGACATCCAAGAAAATACAGGAAGAAATGAGAGCAGAAATAATAAAGTTACAAACAGAAGTATCACTAAAAAAGGATTTAGTCAATGAAATTAAAAACTCAGTGGGTGCTCTCAAGAGTAGAATGACAAGGGCTGAAGACAGAATCAGTAAGCTTGAAGATGAGCTGCAGAAGTCATATAGGGAACAATATATAATGGGAAAAGACCTCAAAATAGCTATAGGGTAAATCAGAGACTTAGGGGATAAACTCAAGAGGAACAACATAAGAATCATTGGAGTGCCAGAAGGACAGGGAGGCAAACCCAATGAAGTAGCAGCAGTTAAAGATATCATTGCTGAGAAGTTCCCAGAGCTAGAGAATACAGGCATTCAGATCCAAGGAGCCCGAAGGGTACCAGCTAAAAGAAACCCTAAAACAAGAGTCTAAGACATATCATAATCAGAATGATAAATACTACAGAGACACAATTCCACAAGCAGGAAGGACAAAGAAGGAAATCACATACAAAGGAGCATCCCTTGATTTATAGCAAACTTATCAGAGGAAACCAACTGAGCCTGAAAACAATGGTGGGATAGTGAAAAAAACTCAATGAAATGAATGCCTCACAAAGAATACTTTATCCAGCTAAACTCTCTCTCAAACTCGAAGTAATGATATACTATTTCATGGATAAACAACAGCTCAGGAACTTCATAGACTTGAAACCAACTTGAAAAGAAGGAATAAAGGGGCTACTGTAAGATAAGACAAGCCCCTAAAAGCACAACAAGAGGGTATGGTGCTGCCAGCAGGTTAATCTGTACCTGTGAGGTGAGTGCATCAGCAGCCTGATGGCAACGTCAGACTTTCAGATACCCCAAAATTGCTGCTGTGCCTTTGGCCAGACCCCAAAAACTTGGGGCAAAGTTTACCAAGAAAGTAAACGGCCAAAAGTAGGTATGTGGGAGACACACCCACAAACCACCTCCGGCTCAGCTATATAACTGGAGGCATGGCCTCTCTGGTTCCTGATCGAACTGCTTAATGGCCATGATTCCAGAGTCTAAGAAATGAATCTCGGAACCCAAAGGCTTTTGGCAGAAATGCATCCTGTTACTGCAGTAGGTTACTGGTGCTGGGTCATTCCAGGTGGGATTAAGTTTCATGCCTTGGCCTGTGTCCCCCTAGCAGCCTGGTGACCACCATCCTCCAGAGGCCACTGAACAGTCTGGTTTGGGACTGCAGTGACGAGACACACGGGGCCTCACCACATGGGGGTGGAGCCGACTCTTTTTCCCCATCCCAATGAGACCCGGAGTTGCCACTTACAAACGGCCTCTCCAGCTCCTGATCAAGCTGATTAATAGCCATGACACCAAAGACTCAGAAACAAATCTTGAAACCCAGCGGCTTTTGGCGGAAATGCATCTGGACTGCATACAAGGTGGCCGCTGCCTCAGAGCTTATTGGAAAGCCAGATATGAGCTGGCCGTGACGGGGCAACTACAGACTCATGGGAAGGGGGGCGGTACCGGCTCATCCTTCACGCCCTATTGAGGTCATGAGTTGCCCCCACAAGCAGCTCTCTGGCACGGCCATGGCTCCAGAGGCAAAAGGACTTAATCCAGAACCAGGCAGCTTGCAGCAGAAAAGTGAATGGACCATGCATGAAACTACGGTGCCATGCCTCCCCAGGAGGGAAAGGGTGTTGCCCTCTTCCACCTTTTTACCCCCTGGCAGCAAGGTGGCTGCCACCTCAGAGTTTATAGGAAAGCCAGGTACAAGCTGACGGTGACTGGGCAACTGCAGTCTCATGGGAAGGGAGGCAGTACCAGCACATCCTTCACGCCCTACCAAGGTCATGAGTTACGGCCATAACACCAGACACACAGAAACCAATCTCATAATTATCTGGCTCTTTGCAGAAATCCAAAATTGTGGCCGCGTGACATTATATGATTCTCATAACCAGCTATAGAAAACAAAATATTTCACAATGCCTTTTCAGCAATTCTGATTATTTGGGGGGAAATTCTAAACAATAATGGTGCATCTTTTGTTGAAATAATGAATGTAATCAATGTAGAGAAGAGTTAAGTAGAAATCATCTGCCTCACAGGCATTTGGAGGGGTGGGGGGTATATTGGGGTTCTTGGTGGTGAAAAATGAGTACTGGTGAAGGAAGGAAAAGGTGTTTGATCCTTGTATGACCGAGACTTAAACCTGAAAGCTTAGTAACTTTTCCCACAATGATTCAATAAATAAATATAAAAATTAAAAAAAAATTAAGGTGGAATTCATGCCCAATTCAATCAGCTAATCAGTGGCTGAATAAATAGCAGTACTTCTACAAAAAAATAAATAAAAGCACAACAAACATCTACAGAAAGATGGCAGAAAGATGGCACACAAACACATGACAATAATCTCTCTCAATGTCAATGGTCTAAGTACACCAATTAAGAGACACAGAGTGGCAAAGTGGACTAAAAAGCTGAACCCAAAATTCTGCTGCCTACAAGAAACACATCTGATCAGTCAGTCCAAGCACAGACTCAAAGTCAGAGTATGGAAAACAATCCTTCAAGCAAATATCTCCCTCACAAAAGCCAGTGTATCCATACTATTATCTAACAACATAGATTTCAGGCTGAAAAATATTAGGAAGGACAGTGAAGGCCATTTTTAATAATGAATGGATACGCACATCAGGAAAAAAATCACAGTCCTATAAATATATGCACCCAATGAGGGACCAGCAAAATACTTAAAACAACTGCTAATGGACTTCAAGGAGGACATTGGTAACAAAACAATAGTCATTGGGAGACTTTAACACCAACGTATCAGCTCTTGATAGATCAACAAGATTAAAATTCAGCAAGGAAGTACTGGTTTTGACATAAGAAATGGAAGAGAGAGAGAGAGCTAATAGATATATACTAGACTTTACATTCCCCCAGTGCACATGAAACATTTTCCAAGATAGACCATGTGCTGGGCCACAAAACATACCTCAATAGAATCAGGAAGATAGAAACTGTATCAACTATCTTTACGGATGATGATGCACTGAAGACAGAAGCTAATCACATACAGAAACAGGAATCAAATCAAACACCTAGACACTAAAAAATTCAATGATGAACAAGGCGTAGGTCAGAGAGGAAATCACGGAAGAAATCAAAAAAATACCTGAAAACAAATGAGAATGAAGACACGAGCTACCAGAACTTGTGGGACAAAGTTAAAGGAGTGTCAACGGGAAAATTTATAGCTCTCACGAAGGAAGAATGCGCCCATATAAATAACTTGACTTCACAGCTCAATAAATTAGAAAAGGATGAACCAAAAGAGCCCAATACAGGCAGGAGGAAAGAACTAATAAAAATTGTCACTTGTCACTTGTGGTTCCATTGTTCATTGATTGGCTCAAGTGGGCATAAGTAACATCTTCATTCATCCCAGGACTGAGTTTCCCTTCCAACCCCAACCAGAGCCCCGGCAGCAGAAAAACCTCCAGAACCCAGCCATAGCCATGCTGAAAGCCACTCTCCACACACTCGGACACGCCTCGCCCATGAGGGAACCAACAGAGGAACCCAGGTAAGCGGGACCTGTGGGTGAGATCTCCAAGCCTGCTCAGATTTCCTCCACTGAGGTCCCTGGTTTCCCAGTAGCTTGGCAGCCACACCCACACACCACACCTGGCACCATGTAATCTTATCAACGGCCAATATTCAGAGACTATAAAATAAAGCTCCCAGAAGAGAGTGATGCAGAATCTCCTGCCCACTTGCCAGGCTATCTTCACCAGGCCCCCTCGGAGGGGGCAGGCTGAATCTCTCTCCAGCCCCAAGCAGAACTCCAGCAGTCGAAAACCTCCAGAACCTAGCCAAAACCATGCTGAAGGCCACTACCCACATGCTCAGACGAGCCTCACGCATGAAGGAACTGGCAGAGGAACCCAGGTATATGGTATGCATGGCTGAAATCTCCAAGCCTGCTCAGATCGGGGCTGGGCCTCCTCCACCCAGACACCCAGTTTTCCAGTAGCGTGGCAGTCACACCCACAAACTGCCCCCAGTGCCATGTAATCTCATTAATGGCCAAGATCCAGACACTATAAACCAAAGTTCCTGGAAGAGTGATGCAGTATTTCCTGGAGCACGACAGAGCCTGACAAGCTACCCATGGCGGATTCGATATGCCAAAAACAGCATCAATAACGGGCTTCTTTCCCCGGACCCTGAAAGAGCCTCTAATAAAAATTAGAGCAAAAATTAATGACATGGAAACCCAAAAAACAATTTGAAATATCAATGAAGCCAAGACTTATTTTTTCTTAGAAAAAATAAAGAAAATTGATAAAACACCAGCAAGACCAACAAAGAAAAAGAAAGAGAGAACTCTAATAGACTGAATCAGAAATGAAAAGTGGGACACCATAACAGAAACCAAAGAAATTCAACAGATTATCAGAGATTGCTTTGAAAGTCGGTATGCCATGAAACAAGAGAACCTAGAAGAAATGGATCAATTCCTGGATTCCTATAACCTCCCAAGGCTGAGCCAATAAAATTTTGAATATCAGAGTCAACCTATTAAGGAAATTGAAAACAAATTTAATCAAAAGTCTTCCCAAGAATAAAATCCAAGGTCCATATTAATTCACTAGCAAATTCATCCAGACATTTAAAGAGAACCTATTGCCAGTCTTTTTCAAGCTTTTTCAGGAAACTGAAAACACAGAAACTCTCGCACATAGTTTCTATGAGGAACATATCACCCTAATACAAAAGCAAACACAGATACCACGAAACAAGAAAATTGCAGGCTGATATCCCTAATAAACAGAGATGTGAAGATCTTCAACCAAACATTAACAAATAGAATCCAACAACTCATCAAAAAGATCATATACCATGACCAAGTGGAATTCATCCCATGGATGCAAGGATGGTTTAATATTCACAAATCAATCATCATAATCCATCATATCAATAAAAGAAATAATAAAAACCATATGATCATATCAATAGATGCAGAGAAAGCACTTGACAAAACCCAGGACCTGTTTATGATGAAAATTCTCAGAAAATGGGAATTGAAGGAACTTTCCTCAATATCATCAAAGTCATCTGCCATAAGCCATCGGCAAACATTATCCTCAATGGGAAAAAACTAAGTGCCTTCCCTCTAAGATCATGGACAATACAAGAATTCCCACTGTCACCACTTCTATTCAATATAGTACTGGAAATACTTGGCATAGCAGTTAGGCAAGAAAAAGATATTAAGGTCATCCATATAGGAAAGGAAGAAAGCAACTCTCACCATTTGCAGATGACATGATAGTATACTTAGAAAACCATGAAGCCTCTGCCAAGAAGCTCCTAGAAACGACAGACTATAATAATTTATAGTAAGTCGCAGGCTATAAGATCAATACACGAAAGTGCATGGATTTCCAAAATGCAAATAATGAGAGAAGAAAGTGATATAAAAAACAATCCCATTCACAATCATGCCTCAAATAATCAAGGACCTTGGACTCATCTTAACTAAGTAGGTAAAGTACTTCTTGGGAAAAAATAAAAGATGGGAGGCATCACCCTCCCCAAATGCAAACTGCAGTACAAAGCAGTAATAATTAAAACAGCATGGTATTAAATAAAGACAGATCCACAGACCAATGGAATAGGGCTGATTATCCTTAAAATCTCCCTCTAATAAATGATCATCTAATCTTTGATAAGGGAGCAAGAAATATAACGAACGTGAAACAAGAAAGCCTCTACCCAATAGTGCTGGCAAAACTGGACAGCTACATGAAAAAAAAAATGGGCTCAAACCTCTACATAATACCAGATCAAAATGGATTAAAGACCTCAAAATCAGACCAGAATCCATAAGGTATATTGAAGAAAAGGTCGGCAAAACCCTCCATGACACTGAAGCCACAGGTAACTTCAAAGATGAAATGCTACTGACCAAGCAAGTGAAAGCAGAGATAAACAAATGGGACTATCTTAAACTAAGAAGCTTCTGCACCTCAAAAGAAACAGTGACCAGGATACAAAGATAGTCTACAGAGTGGGAAAGAATATTCACCCAATACCCTTCTGATAAGGAATTAATATCAAGGATATACAAGGCACAGGTTGAACTCTATGAGAAGAAAACATCCAATCCCACCAGAAAAAGAGGCGATAAAATGAACAGAAACTTTCTCAAAAAAGAAATCCGAATGGCCAAAAGGCACATGACAAAATGCATCACTAATCATTACGGAGATGCAGATCAAAACATCAATGAGATATCATCTCACACCACAGTGACTAGCACATATCCAAAAGAACAAAAGCAAGTGTTTTTGGTGTGGATGTGGGGAGAAGGACTATCCTTTATTGTCGGTGGGAATGGCAACTGGTTCAGTCTTTTTGGAAAGCAATATGAACATTTCTCAAAAAATTAGAAAATGAGCTCCCATTTAACCCAGCAATACTACTTGTGGGAATACATCCAGAGAATGCAAAAAAAAAAGCACAGTAGGAATGATATCTGCACCTGTACATTTATTGCAGCATTGTTCACAATAGCAAGAATCTGGAAACAACCCGAGTGCACGAGATCCAATGAATGGTTAGATAAACTTTGGTCCATCTACACAATGGAATACTGTGCATCTGTTAGAAAAGATGAAGTCATGAAATTTGCTTATAAAAGGATGGTCATGGAGAGTATCATGCCAAATGAAATGAGTCAGAAAGAGAGGGACAGACATTGAATTGTTATTAGCCCTCCTTTGTGGAATACAATGTATCATAATATGTGACTAACACCCAAGGACAGTAGAGACAAGGGCCAGAAAGTTTACTCCACGGTTGGAAGCCTGTCTTAGGAGCTGGAGGAGGCAGCTCGAATAGAGAAGGGATCACTAAATCAATGATGATTGGAGGGATTGCTTGGGATGCAAGATGTGTGCTCTAAGTAGATAAAGGACCAAACATGATGGCCTCTCATGTCTGTACTGCAAACCATAATACTCATAATAAGAGAGAGACTAAGAGGAAAATTGACATAGAGTCAGGGAGTGGGGTGGTACATGGTGGGGAAAGAATACTGGGGAAATCAGTGGTGGAAAATATACACTGGTGGAGGGATGGGTCTTCAATCATTGTGTAACTGAAACTCAAACATGAAAGGTTTGTAAGTGTAGCTCACAATGATTTAATAAAAAAATTAAAAATAGCTTCAGTTCACTGTAATCTTAATATAAAACACAAAATTTTCATAAGCATAAAATAACCATAAAACATGTTAAATTAATGGTACATATTTTCACCCTATCTTCCACCAGTGGACAAAATAGACAGAATTAAAGCTTACTAGAAAGTGGAAGTAGCCCAGGTACTGAAGGTCTGAACTGGTGAGGAGAAGGAGATTGAGTCTCACGGTTTCTTATTGTTTGGTTGATACAGAATCGCCATCGACCAACAGGAGATGACTGAGGAGCAGATTCATCTATAGAAAGAATTATGAGAACTTAATATACTGAGCAGTTGTCAATATGCTTACCTTTGAAAATGAAAAGTTGGTTAAGGAATTCCACTTGAATATATCTACCCCCAGGACACAAAAAATATTCAAAAGGACATGCACACTATTATACACTGAAGCACTTAGTATAATTTCTAAGATATGGAATCCACGTAGGTATCTAACGAATGGATTATGAAGCCATGTTTTGTGTCCACAATGGAATACAATGAAGCTACTTGGAATGATAAAATAACACAATTTCCTGCAACTTGGATGGAAGTAGAAAATACGGAAGCCAGAAGAAGGACAAACACAGGGTATTCTTGCTTATCTGTAGTAAACAGAATAATGGGAAAAGGGAATGCAATGCAGTAAATAGAGGATCTTAGATAACCTTTGACCCTAAAATAAAGGGAGGAGGACAGAGAAAAAAGAAATCGATGGTGGGAGTATGTAGAGGAGGACAGGAAGTAATTGGGGGGGGGGAAGGGTAAAGAGCCTAAGGTGGTGTAGAAGAATGATATAGCTATATATTCAAATGTCAGAATCAACAATAAAAGCAGGATTTCCAAACCACAACAACCAAAATTATGTGCCTGTCAGAGAAGTAGCCTGGAGGGTAGGGGGAATGGGAGCGAACTGTGGACACTGGTGAAGAGAATTTGACATTAGTGGTAGGAGTAGTGTTAAAACATCACAGATCACAGATCACAGATCATCCTGTTACTCGTTGATTGCCTCGAGCAGGCCCCAGTAACGTCTCCTTCATCCTGGCCCTGAGGTTATATTCAAGGCTCTTTAGGAGAATGAGACCCATCATTGTTACTGGTATTTGGCATATTGGGTACGCCACGGGGAGTTTGCCAGACTGCCGTGTGGGCAGGCTACATTCGGTAGCCTGCCAGTTAAAACATAGTGTGGCTAAAAATCAACTAGAAACAACTTTCTAAATAATAGTACATTAATAAAAATACAAAAAATAGAAAACATTAAAGAACAGGTTAAAATACCTGTTTATCTTGATTTACACCCAAATAGTACTCCTGAATGATTTATGAGTAACATTGAAAGATACTTTGTGGGGAAAAATGGAAAGCACCTTTTACTTAAAGCCGATCTCCATTCTGTATCCTAACTATAGTGGTCTTTATATGTAAGTATTAAAATCTATAGAACTGTAAATGTTAAAAAAAACCCAACCAGGGGCTAGAAAGATAGTACTGTGGTAAGGATGTTTCCCTTGCATGTGGCTGATGACAGTTCAATTCCAGGCACTGTATATGAAACTTTGAGAACCACTGGAATGATTTTTGAGCACAGAGCCTGGAGTAAGCCCTGAGCTACACTGGGTACCATCTTGAAAAAAAACTTTAAAAAAGCCAAGTATCATTGGAGCAATAGTACAGCAGGTAGAGTACTTGATTTTCCTTTGACCAACACAGTTTCGATTCTCAGCACTACATATGGTTCCTGGAACCCTGCCAGGAATGTACCCTGGAGTGCAGAAATAGGAATAAGCCCTGAACACAAATAGGTGTGGCCCAAAATACAAAAGGAAATTAAACCAACAGCCAACTATACTGGAGAAATTTTATTCAAATAAGTAATTTTGTCTTTTTTTGTTTTTTTGGAGTATACCCAGAGGAACTTCAGGACTACTCCTGGGCTCAAAGCACAGGAAAGCATGCAGCAACATTGACTGAACCCATGACTTCTGCATGCAAAGCATTTGCTCCAGCTCTTTCATCTATCTCTCTGGCCCACTAATTCTTTTAAGATTGGGCCTATTTTGTCAATCAGAAATCTGCTCAGACCTCTGCTAACAAGATAATAAAATGGAGGACAAAATTTCAGACTAATGATATTAGGTTCCATGACTCTCATACCATCTGCAGCTACATTTTCATGTTGTTATAATTCATTGAGAGGTCTTTGTTTTTCTATGTCTCGTCTCCCCATCCCAGATACTCCAAATATGCCCAGTCAGAACTGAGAAAAATGGAGAGAAAAATCTATCAGAAACATGGAGTCCCCATTTCCAGTTTCAGTGATCAAAGCAGGTTGAAGCATATCACTGGTGAAATAAAAACCAAGATAGACACTTATTAAATATAAGGCAAGCTTAGAACATGATCATTTTAATTAAAAAAGTTTCTGACATCCCTCCCCCAAAAGACATTTCCTGTCCAGAGCCCCAAAAAAGATAACTCAATGGGCTGAGTGCAATACGTTGTATTCAGGAGGTCGGGGGTTAGATCACTGGCACTTCATGGTCAATTAAGTACCACTGGGACTGACCCAAAGCACTACTGGGAGAGATCCCCTAAGCACCAAAGGATCAATTTCTGAACACCGCTTGAGTATGTTACCAAAACCAAAACCCAAAACTAACCAAACAAAGAATGTATTTGCCCATCTCATATTAGGAATTTTTTGTGAAGTAATAACAGATTTTATTTGGAGTGTTGGAGGAAGGGAAATGAGTGAGAGACAAGTGAGAGTAAGAGCAAGGTGTTCAAGAGAACACGGGCTACTCCAAAGGCAGAGAGAGCCCCAGTACACATCTCAAGAGGGGAGATGCAAGCTACAAATGTGTTCCTGTAGGATAAGATTGTATTGTCCTCTCTTCCTTCCCACAGGGAGCTTAGGTTTATTGGGTTACTCCCATCACAGTGCTCCCATTCCTCTGTGTTTATTTGTAACCTCTTTCTTTGTGCTTTGCTTCCCCAATCACCTTTATCTCCAAATCAGACTCTGTTAACTTGTAAATATTGCCTTCTATTCTCCTTAAGTCCTCTGCATAGTTAATTCAGAACAATGTGTTTTAAAAAAAATTTTATTAGTGAATCACCGTGATGTACAGTTACAGACTTACAAACTTTCCTGCTTGTGTTTCAGTCATACAATTCTCGAGTACCCATCCCTCCACCAAGGCCCATTCTCCGCCACCAATGATCCCAGTATTCCTCCCATCCCCCACAACCCATCCCCCCTCCACCCTGCCTCTATGGCAGAGCATTCCCTTTTGTTCTCTCTCTCCTTTTGGGTGTTGTGGTTTGCAATAGGAGTATTGAGTGGCCATCGTGTTTGATCTATAGACTACTTTCAGCACGTATTTCCCATCCCAAGTGGGTCCTCCAACCACACTTTACTTGGTGTTCCCTTCTCTGTCTGATCTGCCTTTTCCTCCAGAATGTGAAGTCAGCTTCCAAGTCGTGAAGCAAACCTATGGTACTTATCTCTACTATTCTTGGGTGCTAGTCACCCATTCTGTTACTTTATATTCCACAGATGAGTGCAATCTTTCTATGTCTATCTCTCTCTTTTTGACTCATTTTACTTAGCATGATACTTTCCATGTTGATCCACTTATATGCAAAGTTCATGACTTCATCTTTTCTAACAGCTGCATAGTATTCCATTGTGTAGATGTACCAGTTTCTTTAACCAGTCATCTGTTCTCGGGCACTCGGATTTTTTCCATATTCTGGCTATTGTAAACAGTGCTGCAATGAACATATAAGTGCAGATGTCATTTTGACTATACTTTTTTGCCGCTCTGGGATATATTCCCAGGAGTGGTAAGCAATGTCCTTTTTGGATAGACACAGGAAGACAGTTAATGCTATGCTTTTGTAACTTGGGAGTTAATTGACTCTAAATGATATTCACTCCCGGGCATCTGTTCTCTCAACTTAAGCCTCAGTTGCCCTTACTTCCTAACAACCCAAAAGCAGAGTCCCAATGAGGGACTGGATGGACCCAGGGCAAGCTATGAGTTACCCTGGCATCGAAATAGGCCAGGCCAAAGCATCATGCTACTTAACTATAAGTTACTAGCATAGTCATGGACAAATTCTGTCATGATCCAAAAAGTAAAATCTAGATTCAAACCCTGCTAAGGTTAGGAAAGATTATCTGGCCTGAGCACTGCAGTCTGAGATCTATAGTGAGATGTCCCCAAGAGAGCGCCCTACAAGCTTAATGTATCTCTTACTGTGTCCATACAAAATAACTAATATTAAGAAGTGGAATTAACTACTTTCAGCATTTAATTCTACTTCTTAATATTAGTTATTTTGTATGGACACAGTAAGAGATACATTAAGCTTGTACAGTGGCTCTCTTGGAGACATCTCGCTATGTTGAAAGTAGATAAAGGACCAAACATGATAACCTCTCAGTTAATCCCCAAAAGTAGAGAGAGAGTATGGGGGAAATTGTCTGCCATGGAGGCAGGGGGAGGGTTGCAAAGGGGAGGTATACTGGAGCCATTGGTGGTGGAGAATGTGCCCTGGTGGAGGGATGGGTTTTTGATCATTGTATGATTGAAACTTGATCGTGAAAGCTTGTAACTAAATCTCATGGTGATTCAATAAAAAATAATAAATAAAAATAAAAGAACTGGGCTTTCATATGTTGATTGTGCTACCCCCAATGCTGGGAGGCTGGTAAGAGACTAGAAAGAGATGAGGACTGCGAAATGGAGTATGGAGAGACTAGCATGGGGGACAGGAGGATACAGGAATGAGAGGCAGTGTGAGACTAGAATGAGGGGCTTAGTGAGACTGGAACAGGCACATGGGGAGAATGGAATAAATGGCAACTGATCACCAACCAGCCTGGCCCTTGTTTTCTCCTTCATCCAAACATGGCATTGGCCGTCCTGGGTGGGGAAGTGGCCCGAAACCACCAAACGCAGGTTGCATGAGAGAGAGCCGCGGGGGGACCCAGTGTTTACACATCTACAAATGTGCTCCAACACCACATGTGCTTGGTACGTAGGCACCAGCAGCACATGGGCTTGGGCAGCATATGTGCCAGGAAATATTCTTTTTTGTCTTTTTTTTAGGTTACACCCTTCAAAGCTTTGGGGTTACTCCTGGCTCTGTACTCAAAAATTACTGCTGGTGGTGCTCAGAGGACCATATGGGATGCTGGGGAACAAATTTGGGTTGGCTGCATGCAAGGCCAGTGCTCTCCCCTATTGCTCTGGAGCCAAAAATAATTTTTTTAAAAAACATTATCAAATAAGTTCAAACATTAAATTTGTTAAAGGCAATCAGTACTATGACTACTTTCTGGTAACATACTATGTCAACTCAGACATAAATTCATTAGATAAAGAAACATTTGGAGAAAATTTGGAGAAAGACGATGTGTTTTTTACTTTTTTTCTTTCTGGGTTATAAAGTTCTTTCAAAGTGTGGGGAAGCCTACATTACCAGACTATTAAATCTCTGCTTACACATCTACAAATGTGCTCCAACACCACATGTGCTTGGCACATAGGCACCAGCAGCATGGGCTTGGGCAGCATATGTGCCAGAAAATAACTTCTTTCTAAACAAAGTTATGTAATTAAAGTTTCCAAATGTCTTAACTAAAGAGTAAAAGGGAAATTTTATTAAAAATAACTTACTGCTGGTTTGAGTGGATGCAGTATTTATCTGTACTTGTTCAGATGATCCTGTCTGAATTAAAAAAGAATAGATAAATTTAAAAACTCATGATACATATTTGAAAAGATGTATGTGCTAAGCAATTGCTCTTACTTCGTTACTGTTGGATTCCAAAGTAACAGAGTCAATTCCAGTGGACTTATCTGTAGCAGAGTAGATGTGAAGGATATCCTGGGCTTGACTTATAATAGCCCGTAATTCTTCTACAAATTTTTCTTTCTCACTTTCCAGCACAAAGTTGTCTTCAACCTGCCCCAAAGCAAAAAGTCTATTAAAGAGAAACAATTTTCTTCAAATTATAATAATATACTAGTGGTGACTATCCTAAAAAATTGTAATTTAAGTATTTATATCCAAATGTCACAGCATAATTAACATAAACCAGAAACAAAATGCCACATAATAAATTAAATTATTAGTTTTCTTTTGAAACCACTAACATTTGTCAAACTGGCATATCTGGCCAGAGAAACTATTTCCTTCCCATTCCTCTGTTGCTGTTGTAGTTGCAATGATGGGGTTGGGAGACCGTCATGTATTAGGTTTCAGTACTTGTATACTTGGTCAAGGTACTAAGTGCTATTTCACCTTTAGCTGCAGTGCTTGCACTAGTGTTTACCAGGGGTCACAGACTTTATGGTGTTAAACATGTGCTCATTAGGGATGCCACATTATCATGGCTGTGGTGCATGTACATCTCATTAGTTTTAGTGCACACCAGGAATCACATCCATTAGTTGTAGTCCGTATTTAATCTGCTGTGGTCCAGTTGAAAATGGCTTGCAGCACCAGAGATCACAAATAGCATAGCTACCAGATCATCATATCACATGTGATGAAACTTGGGATTAAAATCATAAATTGACACTTACAAAACAGGTAGTTGGTAGTTATCAAGCCATCTCCTGGTCCCAGAAAGAATTCTTTAATATATCTGGCAATCATACATTGTCTTTTGCAGAACAAATCTGAGTCAATGTTATATTTAAAACCAAGACGTCCAGGCACTCCAGTCTGGGGTAACCCACATTCCAACTCTAAGTAACTACTTTTTTACAGGTTTTCCTTTTTTTTTTTTTTTTGCAATCCTCTAGCTCTGATCTCCCTAGCCCATATCACACGTCTTAAATAAAACAAAATTTTGTTTTACTTATAAAATGTACAAAAACTGTTAAATTGCAAAACAAAAACAAATCTAAAGATGATAAAGGCCCAGTGACCTTAATTTGGGTTAAGCATTCATGAGAAATATACAAAAAAGAGACTGTTTTCTGTAGATAATACTATGTGACATGATACTATGCCACATATTTAAGAGACAACTGAAAAATGACTTCCTTTAAAAATGTTCAAACCTGCCTAGCAGTAAATGAAGAGCCAAAGAAAACTGATAGAAACAAAAACACTATTTCCCAGATAATTGCCATATAAGAAGGAAAGAGGAATCTCCCATCCAAGTACTAACCAGACCTCTCAGTATTGGTATTGCAAACCATAGCACCCAAAAGTAGAGAGAGAGTATGGGAGAAATTGTCTGCCACAGAGGCGGGGGAGGGGTGGCATTGGTGGGGAGGGATATTGGGGATATTGGTGGTGGAAAATGCACACTAGTGGAGGGAATGGTGTTTGATCATTGAAGACTGAAACTCAAACATGAAAGCTTTGTACCTGTATCTCCCGGTGATTCAATTTAAAAAAAGAAGCATAAAAACTCAAAAAAAATTTAAAAACTAAAAGAAATTATAACTGCTAATTGAACACGCACATAAAAGATGGTTCATTAGTATGTACTAGACTTTCCTGGGGGAACTTTACATATTTTTTTTTATTTTTAGAGAAGCCACACTTAGTAGTGCTCCGAGGCCAGTAAGATCACACACAGCAGTGCTAATTAAAGCACGAGATAACAAGGATCAAACCCAGGGTCCTACAAATGCAAGGCATATGCCCTACCATCTGAGCAGCATTCCCAACCCTACAAACTACTTATGTTTAGATCTCATTATCCTACCGTTGTTCATCGGTTTGATCGAGCGGGTCCAGTAACGTCTCCATTTTTTTGAGACTTGTTCCTGTGTTCCACATATTGAACGCAGGTAGCTTGCCAGGCTTTGCCGCGTGGGCGAGATACTCTTGATGGCTTGCCGAGCTCTCCAGGAGGGGTGGAGTAATCGAACCCAGCTCGGCCAGGCTGGCTGCAGGCAAGGCACACGCCCTACTGTTGGGCTATCGCTCTATCAAAGACCAAATTTAGATCTAGGCAAGAAAAATATTTACAACTAGTTCCTTGGTGATTTTAACATCATGTTATAGATAAGAATCTTATCTAGGGGCCCAGAGGAGAGTTACTTGGTTTAAAATACCTATCTGGCAAACATAAAACCAGGATTTTGATCCATGGTGCTGTCCATATTAGCTGAATAGAGTCCCAGGTACTCTCTGTTTAGGATTCCTGGTCTCACCACAGAATTTTGCAATCTCTGGCACACAGTCAGGTATGTAAAAACACTGAAACTAAGTTTAATTTCCCCTCATGACCACCACAACTAATGACATAAGAACACTGCACTAGGAGTGTGGCCCCCAGCAAGCACATGCATGTATATCAGAACTAATGTTTGCAACCCCCCGAAGGTCACCAAAACCAGAATGTGTAAAAGCACCACAAATAACTGAGACCTCTAGTGAGCATACGAAAGTGAGCAAAATCTGGGAAGAGGCATGGCTGAGTGAGTACCAATACCAAGACTGTGCAATACCAACTCATTACAAAAACAGAAATAAATGCAAATAATTTAAAATAAGCCATCAGGAAAAAGAAAACAAAACCACTGACCTACATTATTTCTCAAGAAAAATCCAAATAATTTTTTTCATTTTTTATAATTTTATTTATTGAATAGGGCTGGAGTGATAGCACAGTGGTAGGGCATTTGCCTTGCGTGCAGCCAGCCCAGCTGAGTCCTGAGTCGAGCTGGGTTTGATTGCTCCGCCCCTCTTGGAGAGCCCAGCAAGCTACTGAGAGTATCTCGCCCGCACGGCAAAGCCTGGCAAGCTACCCATGATGTATTCAATATGCCAAACACAGTAACAACAAATCTCAAAATGGAGACATTACTGGGCCCACTCGAGCAAACTGATGAATGATGGGAGGACTGTGTTTTGTTTTTGTTTTTGTTTTTATTTATTGAATCACCAAGAGAGCAGTTACAATGCTTTCGGGGTTAAGTCTTGGTCACACAATGAAACACCCATATATTCACCAGTGCCCATTCTCCACCACCAAAAACCCCAGTATACCCTCATCCGACACCCTCCCCTACCTGTGGGGCATATGGTTTCCACATTACTCTCTCTCTCTACTTTGATTACATTCAATATTTTGACACCAGACCCACCATTATTATTTGGGATTTTACCCCAACACTCAGATCTGCTGAAAAGGCAACAGTAGACAATTTGTTTTCTATTGCTGGTTATGAATAACATATGATGTTGCATGGCTGCAGTAGTGGCTGTCGACTTTGAAATTCTGAAATTTTAACAATTGAATCTGGAGGGATTTCTGCCAAAACCTGCTGGGTTCCAAGATTTGTTCCTGAGTCTCTGGGATCATGGCTATTAAGCAGCTTGATCAGGAGCCAGAAAAGCCGTTTGTGGGCGGCAACTCGGGTCTCATTGGGATAGGGAGGAAAGGGTTGGCTCCACCCCCATCTCCCCATCCCCTGAGGCCCAGCGTGTCTCATCACTGAGGGCCCAAATCTGACTGTCCAACGGCCTCTGGAGGATGGTGACGACCAAGTTGCTTATGGGGAGCAGACGAAGGGACAGCACCCTTTTCCACCTAGGGTGGCCTGGTGAGAGTAACCTACTGCGGGGACCGGATGCATTTCTGCCAAAAGCCACTGGGTTTCGAGATTTGTTTCTGAGACTCTGGAATAATGGCCATTAAGCAGCTTGATCAGGAGCCAGAGAAGCCATTTGTGGGCAGCAACTTGGGGTCTCGTTGGGGTGGGGAGGAAAGAGCCAGCTCCACCCACATCCCTTGAGGCCCCACGTGTCTCGTCACTGTAAGCCCAAACCTGACTGTCCAGTGACCTCTGGAGGATGATGGCCAATGGACTACCAGGGCGAACAGGCCAAGGCACGAAACCTATTCCCACCTGGGATAGCCTGGCGCCGGTAACCTACTGCAGGTACCTGACGCAATTCTGCCAAAAGACGTTGTGTTCTGAGTTTTGTTTCTAAGTCTCTGAGATCATGGTCGTTAAGCACTTTGATCAGGAACCAGAGAGGCCATGCCTCCAATTATATAGCTGAGCAGGAGTTGGTTTGTGGGTGTCTCCCACATACCTAACTTTTGACCGTTTACTTTCTTGATAAACTTGGCTCCAAGTTTCTGGGGTCTGGCCAAAGGCACAGCAGCAATTTTGGGGTATCTGGAAGTCTATAAGCGCCATCAGGCTCTGATGCACTCGCCTCACAGGTACAGATTGACCTGCTGGCAGCACCATACCCCCAGTAATTTTATTTTTAGGTGCAAGGAATAGAACCTAGGGTATCACACATACAAGACAAGTGCTCTTCCTAATGGAGCACATTCCTGGTTGGAAGCGCTCATGCTTTATTTACTTTTATTGACGAACTATCTACGATTGATAATACTGTAATTGATAATTTCCCAAGTACATAATTTCAACACGACACCTATTACCAATATACCCTATCCCTCTCCCAATGGCTTGTAACATCCCTCCTTTCAACCCCTTCCACAATGCCAATTTGAGAAGATCAGTTCTTTCCTTGTGTTGCTTTGGCACTTTGTTGTTACCCAGCTGTGTATCTTAAAGTCCCACATATAAGTGAGAGAGATCATTCTATAGCTATTCTTTCCTTCTCATTGGGTTCAATAAGCATATATTCTAGTTGCACCCATGTCACAGTAAATTGCATGATTTGTTATTTTTTGGAGTGGAAAATATTTCATTATATATATGCACAGATATATATATACACATATATATGCTTATATATGTATGTATATATGTAAATTGCAACTACTAGATCTATTTATTCAAAGTTGTCATTGGGTTGTTTCCATATCACATTACATTAAGAATTATTACATTAAGAGTGATGATGAACACAAGTGAATATATTCTTTCAAATTAATGTTTTTCTGTTTTGGAGAGAGATACCAGTAGTGGAATCACTGGGTCATATAGGAATTTTATTCCTTTTATTTTTTGGAGTGATCACCATATTGCTTTTTCATAGAGCTTGAACGAGATGACATTCCCACCAACAGTAGAGGAGGATTGCTTTTTTATCATAACCCCGCCAACACTAGCTGTTTCAAGACTTTTTGATATGTGCCATTTTCACTGGTATGAGATTATATCTACTTGGTTTGATCTGCATTTCCTTAATCCTGAGTGATACTGAGAATATTTTATTTTTTATTTTATTTTATTTTTTAAAATTTTTATTAGTGAAATACCATGAGGTACAGTTGTAGACTTACATATTTTGTGCTTGAGTTTCAATTATACAATTATCAAATACTCATCCCTCCACCAGTGCCCATTTCCCACCACCACGGATCCCAGTATCCCTCCCACCACCCATCCCCCCCAACCCACCCTGCCTCTGTGGCAGGGCATTCCCCTCTGTTCTCTCTCTCCTTTTGGGTGTTGTGGTTTGCAAAAGAGACATTGAATGGCAATCATGTTTGGTCTATAGTTTACTTTCAGCATGCTTCTCCCATCCTGGGAGGATCCTCAGAACACCATTTATTTGGTGCTCCCTTCTCTATCTGAGCTCCCTTTTCCCCTAGCATGTGTGGCTGGCCTCCAAGACATGGAGCAAAATTCCTGGTACTAATCTCTGCCATTCTTGGTTGTTAGTCTCCTATTTTGTTACATTATGTTCCCCACATGAATGCAATATTTCTATGTCTATCCCTCTCTTTCTGACTCATTTTGCTCTATACTGAGCATATTTTAATATGCCTATCTGTATAGCTTCTTTGGGAGAGTGTCTGTTCATCTCCCTTCCCCATTTGTGAAAGGGGGAGTTGGATTGCTTTGTAGTTGAGTTTTGTGAGTGCTTTATATATCTTGGACATCAGCCCTTTATCTGATATGCTGTGTACAAATATTTTCTCCCATTCATTAGGTAGTCTTTTTATTTGGTATGTTGGCAAGTGGACAGGGCTATCGAAGAGATTTGAGTAGAAGTCATGGATAATCTTCTCCACTGCCATTCTGGACTATGTGATATATCCATCAGGACGTCGGAGGGCAGTCATCTTGGTCTTGTAGTTGGCGAAGGACAGGCGGGCATTACAAATACTTTTCCCAGCTCCTGCCACATCTACCAGCACTTCTGCTCTTCTCTCTTTGAAGTCTTCCTTGATGGCATCTCTGCACTGCTTTGCGAGCTCAGACGTTCACTTGCGGTTGCCTGAGGCATGCGCCAAACCACGTTGGCGAATAAGCTCAAGAGTTTTCAAAGAAAGGCGTTTTTTTATGGCTATCTCTCTCTTGGCGTTCCTCACACAATCATGGAGGTGCTGAAACAGTCGATCATATTCCTCGTCAATGTTGTCAACAATGGCATCTTCCCATGTTGCTGCAATAGTGCCAAAGAGCTCTCAGTTGGTGGTCGTTCTGGGAGTTCTCTTTTTAAACTTTGCAGCCCTTTCTCCCCGCTCTGTGAAGTAGAATTTTGCACGAAGGAGACGGTGGTCCGATCCCGTTTGGAATTTTGGGACAACAGCGACATCGGTCAGGCAAAACTGTCGATTGAATATGATGTGGTCTATTTCGTTGTGGAATAGTCCACCAGGAGACTCCCATGTCCAACGTTTAGATTCAGCCTTCTGGAACTGTGAGTTACCATGGATGGTCTTGGGCAACATGATGAACTCAGACAGTCTCTCACCCTTGCCGACATACCAAATTCCACAGGATGGATATGTCGTTCCCAGTGTTCTCCCTTCCGAAATCCGACACGTCATTTCGTCAGTGAAGAAACAAACAGCACCTGGCCCAGACAAGGTCAGACTTGAACACCGGAAGAACCTGCCGTCAGTACTCATCAATACACTGGCTTGGCTCTTCACACGCTACCTGTCTGAATGCAAGGTTCCATCCCAATGGAAAACCAGCAGGACCGTACTACTGTTCAAGAAGGGAGACATCCATGACATTGACAACTATCGCCCAATCTGCCTATTGTCTGTCATCTACAAGTTGTTCACTTGAGTCATCCTAAATAAGATTGGCAGAACACTAGATGAAGAACAACCATGCGAGCAAGCTGGGTTCTGCAAAGGATTCAGCACCATTGACCATATCCACACAATAACCAAGCTCACTGAGGTTTCTCGGGAGTTCAAGATGCCACTCTGTCTAACGTTCATTGATTTAAAGAAGGCCTTTGATTCTGTTGAGATGGAAGCGGTCATTGAAGCCCTAGCCAATCAGGGCATTCAAGCTCAATACATCAAGATCCTCCATGAGCTGTATTGCAGATTCACTACCAGGATCTCACCATTCTACAAAGAAGTGATCGTTGACGTCAAGAGAGGGGTGTGGCAGGGTGATACCATTTCACCAAAACTCTTCAGTGCCACCCTCGAGAACATCATGCGATGACTGGAATGGGAAGGAATGGGAGTGAAGATAGACAGTCGGCAACTACACTATCTCTGCTTTGCTGATGACATTGTTTTAATAACACCAAACATCAGCCAAGTGGCACAAGTGCTGGCCAACTTCGACCGTGAGTGTAGAAACGTCGGTCTACAGTTGAATCTTACAAAGACAATGTTTATGAGAAACAGCCTCGTTCCTGACGCCCCATTCGCTCTCAACGAAATGACCATCCCCGAATACAACAGCTATGTGTACCTAGGTCGAGAAGTCAACATGACAAATGACCTGGCACCCGAGCTGCGCAGGAGGAAGAGAGCGGCTTGGAATGCCTTCAAGAGCGTCGAAGAAATAGCTAAGAGGATGAAAAACCTCCAGCTCCGGGCACATCTCTTTGATTCCACTGTTCTTCCTGCATTAACATAAGCCTCAGAGACCTGGGCCCTACACAATCAGGATGAGAACGCTATTCGGGTCTCCCAAAGAGGAATTGAAAGAGCTATGCTTGGAATGTCACGTTTCACTCAAATGAGAGAAAGAATCCGGTGTTCCGACATCCACCGACGATCAAGAATCAGGGACGCTGTCTCGTTTGCCAAAGGGTCAAAATTCAGATGGGCTGGTCACGTAATGAGATTTGAAGACGACCACTGGACTAGTGCTGTTACTGACTGGATTCCACGGGATGTCAAAAGACCGCATGGCCGCCCACCTACCAGATGGTCAGACTTCTTCATCAGATCATGAACGATTGGTTTGAGGCTCTTCATGTTCCTAGAGCGAACAGACGCCATTGGGCTACACTAGCACGTGACAGGGACAAATGGAGACATTACTGGCGCCTGCTCAAGCAAATCGACGATTAACAGGAAGTCAAGTGATCAAGTGATGTACTTACCATATAGTCTACAATATCTTCTGGTGCATCACCATCAACATCAAACTTGAAGGTGACCATCTTGTTGTTGTGGGTCTCTAGTTGACACTCAACCATGTTGTCTCCAGAGGTTGATACCTGGGTACAAACATTTTATCAATGTGTCAGTCTTTGTCCTTTTTTTTGCAAATTGTGCAGGAAACATCCAAATGAACTCATATATAATACGGGAAAAAATTGTTCAAATATAAAGTTCATTCAGCAAAATGTCAAAATGTTAGTTATGGGGAAAAGGAAATGGAACAGACTCTTTTACAAAAAGGCAAAATCAGTTGCAACATTAATAACAGAAAGATCTAAATCATTAAATCCCTAAAAGGTAAAAACAGTGACAATAGTCACCACAGAAATATGTAAATCATTCATTTCCAAAATTATCTTAAAACCACAAACTGAGGCACATGAAAAAATTCTCTACATCATTAATCATCAGGGAGATGCAGATCAAAACAACAATGAAATATCATTTCACACCACAGAGACAGGCCCACATCCAAAAGACCAAAAGCAACCAGTGTTGGCACGGACATAGCGAGAAAGGGACCCTCCTTCACTCTTGGTGGGTATGCCGACTGGTTCATCCCCTCAGAATACAGTATGAATGATTCTCAAAAAAACTAGAAATTGAGCTCTCATTTGAAGCAGCAATACCACTCCTGGGAATATACCCCAGAGAGTCAAAAAAGGTAAAGGTAAAGGTAAAGGCCCTCCCGTTGATCATCGATTTGCTCGAGCGGGCACAGTAACGTCTCCATTGGAGACTTTGTTGTTACTGTGTTTGGCATATCGAATACGTCACGGGGAGCTTGCCAGGCTCTGCCGTGAGAGCGAGATACTCTCGGTAGCTTGCTAGGCTCTCTGAGAGGGGCAGAGGAATCGAACTCGTGTCGGCCAGGTTGGCTGGGTGCAAGGAAAACACCCTACCCGCTGTGCTATCGCTCCAGGAGAGAGTCAAAAAAGTATAGTCAAACCAACATCTGCACTTGTTTGTTCATTGCAGCACTGTTTACAATAGCTAGAATATGGAAAAAACCTGAGTGCCCGAGAACAGATGACTGGTTAAAGAAACTTTGGTACATCTACACTATTGAATACTGTGTAGCTGTTAGAAAAAATAAAGTCATGAAATTTACATACAAGTGGTACTACATGGAAAGTTTTATGCCAAGCGAAATGAGCCATAAAGAGGGGGACTGACAGAATGATTGCATCCATCTGGGAAACATAAAGTAACAAAATAGGAGACTCACACCCAAGAATAGCTATGATAAATACCAGGAGGTATACTCCATGGCTTGGAGGACAGCTGCACACTCTAGGGGTAAAGGCAGCTCAGATAGAGAAGGGAGCACCAAATAAAGGGTGCTGGGAAGATCTGCCCAGGATGGGAGATGCATGCTGAAAGTAGACTATAGACCGAATATGATTGCCACCCAATGCCTCTTTTGCAAACCACAGCACCCAAAAGGAGAGAGAGAACAAAAGGAAATGCCCTGCCACAGAGGCAGGGTGGGATGAGGGGGTGGGGGTGGGGTGGGAGGGATACTGGGATTGGAGGGGGTGGAGAATGGGCACTAGTGGAGGGATGGGTACTTGATCATCGTATAACTGAAACCCAAGCACAAAAATGTGTAAGTCTACAATTGTACCTCATGGTGTTTCACTAATAAAAATTAAAAAAGAACACACAAACTGATTCTTTATATGCAAAAGAAAATCCAATAATAGTGAAAATGTAAACTGGGCCAAATGTTATGGACAGCAATCTTGAAAGATATATTTAGAAACTTCATACTCTCTTACCCACTAATTCTATTTTTAGGACTCTATGTAAGGAAGTAATCAGAGAAAAATATATAAGAAAATATATACAGAAATTTTTGTTCATTATGCATGCTGCAGTGAAAGAACAAATACAAAGAGAACGAAAAAAAATGGACAGAAAGAGAAACAATCTAACGTAAAAGGAATAATTGTAGCTCTACAAGCTCTACTAATACATTTAAAATAGCGTAACTAAAAATTTAACAGCATAGGAAATATATATATTAAGTTTCTTAAAAGTCAGAATGTAAAAATTACAAAGACAGATCTAATAATTAATCTAAGACATATGCTATATTGATTAAAGATAGGGACTTTAAAGTCTGATGTAGATTCTGATCTAACAGTTTAAAAACTTTAGGGAAACTTTCCCCTTTTTAGTCTTCTTTATTGGCACCCGTAAAGAGAGTCCACTACCCCACCACCACTATATAGGATTACTGAAGATTTTAAATGATAAAATGAATGTATATCATTTGTGATATCTGACACAAAAGAATGCAGTAATTTTTGACAATTTCATTTGAACGATTACTACCTTAGTAACATAAAATTTTTATACATATACGTAAAAAGAGAGATAAAAACAAACTGAAATATTAATGGGAGCTACCATGAAAGTAATATAATAACTTTTCATTTTCTTTTTGTCAGTTATTCTTCAGTCCCTCATATTCAAGGTATTATGCACTGCCAGTGATCAAATCTGGGGCTCAAGCATGCAAAAAATGTATTCCAATGATTTCCCTAGTCAATACACATAACATTCTTTTTAAGGGGACAAGCGGGAGAGGATGTTGGGATGCCATACACAACTGTGTTCAAGGCTCACTCCTGACTCTTATGCTCAGGGATCACTCTTGGCAGTGCTCAGGGGAACATATGTGGTGGTAGGGACAAACAGCAACATGCAAGGCAAATAACTTATACTATACTATTTCTCTGGCTCTATATAACATTCGTATTAGGAATTCATTCAACAAAAAATTTTCAAAAAAGTCAACAGGCTGGATATTCATAAGATTCTTTATCATCGTTCTCAAACATTCCAGACTCCCACAGATAGTCTTAACCCAAACATACTGACATACTGACCTGAAGGACAGTAAGTTGGAATTTGGTCCCCTTCTCTGGTCGAAGACAAGAAGCTCTTCTTTGTTTGATCCGATCATGTTTGCCATTTCCACTTTGGTAATCAGATGTGTTGGTGTTTTCTTTCATAACTACCACCTCGTCATTCAAACTAGTAATTAAAAATATTCAATTTCTCAGGTTATATTATATTCTGCTCTTCAGAGCCCAATATTTAGTCCAGATCAGAGTTAATCTCTGAAATTCCTTTATGGCTAGAAATAATTCATTGTAAAGATAAAGTTCTTTTTATGATTTGTTTTGGGTTCACACCCACTTATGTTCAGGAACTACTCTTGGTTCTGTATTCAGGAATTACTCCTAACAGTACTCATGGGACTACATGGAATGCTGAGGATAGAACTTGGGTTAGCTTTGTACAAGAAAAGCACCCTACCCACTGTATTAGCTCTCCAGCCCTTATCCTAATGATGTAGTTCTAAGAAAAATTCTCAATTATAAAAATCATAATGAGTTTTAAGAAACTGAATAGTAAAATATCTCAAACAATGATGACACTGTGAGAATATAAAAATAAAAGCCATGAATTATACAATTTAAAAAGGTATATAACATGGTCTATAATTACATCTCAGTTATTTAAATTGGAGGCCACATTGTATTTATTTGGCAAACATATCACAGTAGTGGGAGTGAACCAAAAACCCTAGCAGTGATGGATCTTGGTGAAAAAAAATTTGTGGTGCTTGTGATCGAATCTATGGTCTAATATATGTAAATTAAGTACTCTACTGCTGAATTACCCCACTGGTACCACGTGATATATTTTATCAATGGGTGCTCTTGTTCAATTTTATCTTGCTTGTTTCACATTATACATTTAAATAAATTTTCTAGAAAACAGTTCCCACTCAAGATGCCAGAGAGTTCAATGGGCTGAGTACATGCTTTGCATGCAGGAGGCCTAGGTTTGATCCCCAGCACCACATGGTGCTGCAAGTATTGCCAAACACAGAGTAATAAGCACCACCCAAGACTCAAATAAATGGAAATTAAAAATTAAAACCAATTCCCACTCAAGATTTACCTGTTGATATAACAAACTCAATAGGGGGTAGACAGTAGGTGTGGGAGACAGAAATGTAAGAGTAGAACAAGAAATTAAAATGATGTGAAAATGGATCAATTTGACTAATTCTAATCAGATATAATTTACAGGTTCAAACCATTATTATGAAAGAAGGGTAGACCTCCAGTTTGTGTCTAAAGCAATTTTCAGCTTTTCATCTAGTGAATGTGAAAGCAGATCAACAATTAAAAAAATACTGAGAACAGGCAGGGCCATGACTGTAGAATAGGCAATAGGGATACTACAACAATCTCCTATGATCATGACAAAATCTACACACACAAAAGACAGGAATAAATGCAGTATTCTGTGACACAGGGAAAAGAATCCAGGGGAGCCCAAATACTCTCCCTCCAAAAGGAACCCTGCTTATAGAGCTAAATGCTGTAGCACAGAATCCAAGGCATCATAGCGGAAAACTGGAGGAACAATCAATATTTATGCAGAGATCTATAAGATGCTAAGGCATGAGGAATTTTGCTTTGAAAGGCAGGGTTGGTTAAGTCAAACTCAATAACCCAACAAACTCTACTTTTTTATGCGTTGTGAGCCATATCTGGTGATGCTCAGGTGTTACTCCTGGCTCTGCAGCTGAAATTCTCCAGAACCCAATCACTGCCATGCTCACAGCCAATCTCCACATGCTAACGATGAGTCTCATGAATAAGAATGGTTCTGCTGGAAAAAACAGGTATGCAGGATTTGTGACTGAAATCTCCAGGCTCTCACAGAGAGCAACTTCCCCATCTCCTTGTTCTTACCTTCAAGGAGCCTGTCAATCATGCCCATGACCTACCTCTGGTGCCATATAAGCTCATTAATGGCCATGACCCAGAGACTCACAAATAACTCTTGGAAGAGAACTACAACCTGCAGAGATGCCCCCAAGCCCCAAAGTCACCATCCAGTTAAAAATGTAACTCCAGATCTATCACCCTATTTAAAATTTTAGAATTTCTGGAGCGACATCTTATACTGTGTACACCACTGATGTACCAGGAGTAGTACACCACATTGGACAGGGTGTAAAGTAGAAGGCAACTGATCTCGATAAAAAATATATATATTAGCACAAAAGGCTCAACCTGTAACAACATGTTAGTGATCACTTACACAAGAGCTTAATATCTCTAGGGTGAGATACAACAATCTTCACACACTTTCCTCTAAGGAAACTTCTTTTGGATCATTCTTAGCAGATTATTCATAACAAGCAATACAAAATAAATTATTTAGGATCTGGCTTTGGGGCAGTCTATGGAGAAGGGTTACGGGCACTGGAGAAGATAAAACCCGATCTTGTGAGGCAGTTTTGAAGTAAAGTCTCGCAAGAGGGAGTAACTGGGCAAAGTTAGCGAACAAGGTGCCTGCACCAGTTTTCTGGCCTTAAGCCTCACTCAACCCCTAGTCACGTATACGCCTAGAACTCAAAAACCGTCAGGTACACCTTTAGTAAGTCATTATAACTGCAACATATAGCCTTGAAGTGAATTGGACCTGGACAAAGCAGAAAGGAAAATGTAATAGGCCAATAGTGCTAAACTCTACGTGATTGATCTTCCTGTAAGCCAAGACCCTCTATAAAAATATGTGTATAAAGTGAGCTGTGATCAACTGCTCCTGGAGGGGTTTCTCTGCGCACTCATCCCCTTCACTCCACAGCAAGGATCTTGCCCGGATCAGGTGTGAACTGAGTCCGGGCATATTAGAGATAACTGTTCCCCTAGAGCAGGCTTGGACAGTGGTGGGAAAATTCGAAATAATGGTGGTGGGAAGTTGTACTGGTGGTGGTATTGGTGTTGGAAGACTGGATGTAATAAATTATTGTGAACAACTCTATAAAAATTTTTAAAAATTAAATTACTCCTTCTTGTGCTCAAGGGACTATAAGGGATGTTACGGATTGAACCCATATCAGCTGTGAGCAAAGCAAATGCCCTACCTGCTGTACTACCGCATCAGTTCCTCAGTAAATTCTACTCACAACAAGAGAACAGTGGAACAGTAATTTAAAAACTAAGATATTCAAGGATCTGAATCTCCAGTGGATTTCACCTAAGTTGCCTCTTATAACCTTGCTGGGACATGCAATCTTTAATTCTCTTAGAGACATCCTGAGGACAAATTACTCAAGATTCTGCCAATCCTGAAATGGGAACCACATAACCAAAACTAAGGGTGGAGAACAGGGCGTTGAGAGACATCTGTTTAAGCCCAGGCACATAGACTCAGATCCACAGAGATCAGATCTGACTGCAACTGGGAAGTCCAAAGGAACTTTGAATAAAAAAGATCCCCAACCACAAATGTGCTATTCATGGGCTGAAGAGATAGCAGAGTAGGTAAGGTGCTTTCCTGCAATGTGGCTAACCCAGGTTTAAATCCTAGTAGCCCATCTGGTCACCCAAGCCCAACAGGAATGATCCCTGGGAGCAGAGCCAGGAGTAAGCCCTGAGGACAGCTAGATGTGGCCCAAAACAAAAGCAAAAATGGATATACAAAATGGGTAATTACTCAAATTACCCATTTGAGTAAGGAAGGAATAATAAAAATCTTTTCTAGATAAACAACAATTAAGGAAATTTGTGGATACTCAACTATCAGTGTAAAGCATACTTAATAATCTATAAAAGACAAATAATTCCCAATTAGATGCAGTTAAGGTACAGAAAATCAAATGTGGGAAAAAATGAAACCTTTTTTTCAGCAGAAAGTAGAAAATAATAAAAAAATTACTGCAAAAATAACATAGAAATAAATAGGACAATATGAAAAAACCTAATGAAATCAAGAGTTCGTTCTTTCAAAGAATAAAACTGTCAAGGAAAAAAGGAACGAAAACCTTAATAAACTGGATCAGAAACAGAAGGGGGAAGCTATAACTGATATTGTGGAAATGAAAAGCATAATAAGCCACTCATATGAACTTCTTGCCATTAGTTGGGAAATTTAAAAGAAATGGATGAATTGTTAGAACCTTACAATTCCCCAATATTACACCAAGAGAAAATAAAGAATCTGAACAGGCCAACTTAAAGCAGAGAAACTGAAACAATAATCAAAAGTCTACCAAAACTAAAATGTCTGGTGTGCATGATTTATCAAACTTTCACTGATGAACTATTCTTCTCAAGTTCTTAATTTTTTAAAAAAGAAACTATAATTATGTTAGAATTTCTAACAGATGTCTAACAACCAGTCCATCATTACCCTGATGCTCAAAACAAAGACATTCCACCCAAAAGAAAATGAGAGACCTAAGGAGATAGGGGTCGAAGCACAAGCACTGGTTATGGAGGCATGGATTAAAAATCTGGCACTACACGGTTACCTGGCACCACTAGATATAATAGCCTTGTTGGACTCTGAGTTCTGATATAATCAAGTACCACCAGTACCAAGAAGCACTATATCACAGAGCCTGAGCACTGAACCATCAGGTTCACAAAAGTGGGTAGAGGCTTGATGGGAATGGACCCAGGCCCCAGCACAGCTTGTGTAGGCATTCCCCCCAAATTAAAAACCATATCCCTTATCAATATGGATATACAGAAATCCTCACAAAGTATTAGCAAGCTAAATTGAACATTACATTAAAAGGACTGTGTATCACAACCAAGTGGGATTTATTCCAGGGATGCGAGGATGGTTTAACATATTCAAGTCAATTACTATAATACACCATCCACATTAAAAAAGAGAAAACCATATGATCAAATCAATAGATGAAGAAAGCCTTTAACAAGATTCAATATCCATTTATGACAAATACTTTTGACAAAATGGGGATAGAAGAAACTTACCTCAACAGAGTAAAGGTCATATACAACAAACTCACAGCTAACATCATAATCAATGGTGAAAAACTGAAAGCTTTTCCTCCAAGATCGGGTACAATACAAGGATGTCCACTTTCACCACTATTATTGAACATAGTACTGGAATCCTAGCCACAGCAATTAGGCAACAAAAAGAAACAAAAGGGATTCAAATTTGAAAAGAAATAAAACTATGATTATTTGCAGATGGCATGATAACATACATAAAAATCCCAAAAAGATCCACCAAAAATATTGAAAAAATAAATCAATACTATTAGGTATCAGGCTACCAAAACAAGGTAATAAGAAATTTCACTTATATAATCAAACAATGAACAAAATGAGAAAACAAATTTTGAAATGCCTATTCATAATTGTATCCCAAAATATCAAGTACTATGGATGTGAAAGATTAAATATATCAAAAACTATGTCACTATTAAAATAAATAGAAGGTACAAATAAGTGGAAAATATTTCATGTTCATGAATGTGAATAATTAACACTGTCCAATGTCCATCCTGCAGGAAGCATTATGAAGATTCAATGGAATACCCATCAAAACTACAATGGTATTTTTCAAAGACACAGGAAAAACATTTCTATAGTCTCAAAGTAATTCTGAGAAAAATGGTACGTGGAACTTCATTCTCCAAATGGGTACTATAAAGCTATAGTAATTAAACAAGTGTGTTATAGGAATGAAAATGGATATTAAGGCCAATGAAATAAAACCAAGAGTCATTTGATAAACACTGATACATACATATTTTATGACAAAGGAGCCCAAAACATAAATTGGGGCAAGGAAAGTCTGTTTAATAAATGGTGCTGTGAAAACTGAACTAGTCACATGTAAAAGGAATGAAACTAAAACACTATCTCATTGTATACACAATTCAATTCAGAATGAACTAAATTAATGGAATTAACGTGAGTTTCAACTCTATGTGAGACCCAAATCCATAAAACACACAAAAGAAATATAGGTTATATACTCCATGATACTGGTTTTAGTGGCATCTTCAGTGCATTAACCCCATTAGCAAAGAAAAAAGTGGAAATCCATTAAAGCTATCATTAAAAGAGAAACAGGATATACTGACTGGGAGAAAATAGTCTCTTCATACATCTGACAAAGAATATCCAAGACATACAAAGCACTCACAAAACAACAAAAATATAAGCATCTGTACCAAGATGGGGAGAAGAGCTGAAGAAATACTTCTCCAGAAAAGATATATCAATGGCCAATGGGCAGAGGAAAAGCTTCTTCTTATTATTTATTTTCAGGAAAATGCAAATTGAAATAATGATAGGTCACTTTACACTGGCAACAAAAAGGCCAGAAACAAAAACCACTGGTGAAAAGAAATTCGTATTATTTTTGTTGGGAATGTAAACAGCAGGAAAATCAGCATGTGTATTTCTGGAAAAAAGAAAAAGAAAAATGGAACTACCATATGATTCAGCAATTTCACTTCTAAGTACCTATCCCAAGAACAAAAAAGTACTAGTACAAAAAAAGACATGAATACTTGATGCTCATCATAGCAATAATCGCAATAGCCAAGATCTGGAAGCAACCTAGGTGCACAATGACAAATGAGTGGACAAAGCAATTGTGGCATATATAAATAATGAACTCAACTATAAAAAAGAAGATAAAGTTCTGCATGCTTCAGCATGCATGGGACAAGAGAGTGTCATGCTAATAAAGTAAATCTGAAAGAGAATAACAAATTTGATAATGATATCACTCATAGGTAGCATCTAAAGAAGCAAAGCAAGGGAGAAACAATATCTGAGAGGGCGAAAAGAAGTAGTTTGAAGACAGAATTTAAACTTAAATTTGAAGACAGTTACTTAAGAGAAGTGGGGGCTGGAAAAACAGCACACTGAATAAGACTCTTGCCTTGCACATGGCCAACACAAGTCTGATCCCTGAAATCTAATATGGTCTCCAAAGGCCACCAGGAGTGATCTCTGGGCAGAGAGCCAAGAGTAAGCCCTAGAGCACACCTGGCCCAAAAACAAAGCGGGTGGGAGTGGAAAGAGGGGCCCTCTGTACTTTGGAATAAGAATATAGCACTCATAAATTGTGATTTGGCAATACTGTTCTCCTAAAATATACACCTATACTCTTTCGATCTAATTTTATCTCAATTAAATAACAAATATTTAAAATCTAATAAAATATTTAAAATTTAAATGAGAGAATCTGTAAACACCTAATTTAATTGGGGTCATGAAACGATATCTGGTGGTGCTCAGGAACAACTCCCAGCATGTTGCTTGGGGACTGCTCCCACCAGTGCTCAGGGGAACATGCAGTGCTAGGATATGCAATACATGTCTTTTGAGCTATTTCCTGGCAACCAAGGGCCTTACTCTAAAAAGTACTGATGAAGTGGTCACATAAAATCACGAGACAAAAATAACTCCTAAATTGTTAACTATGTCTGTGAGAAACTAATTTGCATAAATACTAGTGTTTGGGGAGCAGAAAGAAAATACAGGGGTTTAGATTCTTGCCTTGTACACGGTCAACCCCAGTTCAACATCAGGCACTGCATATGGTCCTGCAATCTCCTTTAAGAGTGATCCTGAGCACAGAGTCAGTAATAAGTCCTGGGTATATCCCTAAACTTCAAAATGTATAATGGAAGATGATACATTAATTCTACTTTTACTATTTTTCTATAGATAAATGTTTATAACAAATAATACCTTCATAGGACAAATGGGACAAAATAGTGGCCAAAGAGACAGAACAAGGGTTAAGATACTTGCCTTACATGTGACTAAATATGGTGTGATCCCTGCCACTTCATTTGGTCCCTCAAGAAATGATAGAAGTGGGGCTGGAGCGATAGCACAGTGGGTAGGGTGTTTGCCTTGCATGCAGCTGACCTGGGTTCAATTCCCAGCATCCCGTATGGTCCCCTGAGCACCGCCAGGAGTAATTTCTGAGTGAAGAGCCAGGAGTAACCCTTGTACGTCGCTGGGTGTGACCCAAAAAGCAAAAAATGATAGGAGTGACCCCTGAGCACAGAGACAGGAGAAGTCACTCCTGAATATGGGCCTCAAACAAATGAAGAAACAAAAATATGGAGGAGATAATAAAAAGGACTGAAGCACATGCTTCATGAAGACAAATTCAACAGATCCCAATATTAGGGTAAATGAGATATTGGAATTATCTGATAAAAATTTTAAGACAGCTTATCATCAAAATGCTTCAATGAGAAATTACAAATATTCTTGAAGCAAAATAAAAATTTAAACCTCATACAGTTATTAAAACATTTTTAAAGGATTAAATAAAAATTACAGAACTAAAAGTACAGTCATCTGAGTAACAGATTACGTTTTAAACTAATACACAGTTGGCTGAAGAGACAGTACAGAAGGTTGGACTCTTGCCTTTAATGCTGCAGCAGTGGCTGTGACCCTGGTTAAATCCCTCACACTACATATATATGGTCTCCTGGATACCATAATTTCTAAACAGAGAGTTTCTCTTGGTGTGGCACAAATCACCCGCAATAATAAAATAAAAAATAAAGTATAATCATAAAATATAAAACTCATCTAATAGGCACAATAACAAACTATGAGAAAGGAAATAAAGTGTACTTGAAAATTAATAGAAACTACACAATCTAAAAATAATTTAGATTACAAATATCAAATAATAAAAAATTATTTTAGGTTGCAATTTATTTCTTGAGATTAGGTAGAATGTAACTATGAAATTTATTATTTATTACTCTTTCCTTTCTTTTTTCCTTTTTCTTCTGTTCTCAGGGATCACTCTTGGCAATGCTTGGGGGACTATATTCCGTTCTGGGAAACAAACCAGGATCAGCCACATGCAAGACAAGCACCTTAATCCCTGATCTAACTCTTTGGCTCCTTTTTTCCTTTCTTAACCCTAAAAAGCTTTTCTCGGTGGGGTTAGGAGGGCACACCCTGTAATACTTATAGTTGGAGTGCTCAAGGCCCAGGATATGGGAACATTTGGTACAAAGTATGTACAAGATTGAACTCAGGGTCTAGTACATGCAAAACATGCACTCTAGACACATTTCTAGCCCTTTGTAAGCTTTTATTTAAAGTGGATTATTATAGTCATGAGAACAAGAAAAGGACCATAAAACATGATCTTTCTAGTATATGTGCTACTGAACTGAGCACATAAAAAAGATCTTTATTAGCCTAAAAACAAAAAAATACTTTGCATTAAACATATGCACATAAACAAGAACAGAGATGCTCTTCTAGTCATGAAAAACTAAGCACCTAATAAATGCAAATATTTCAACATATTGCTTTCAAGATATTAATTTGAAAATACTCACCTTCTAACTAAATCTGGGTTTAGAAGAGTTGCTTGCTGTTCAACACCAACTGGTTGGGACACAGGCTGTAACTGGTACAGAAATAAAACTTGTTATAGTAACAGCAATTTTCAAGCTAATAATGCAATTTGCTGTATTAAAGCAATTGCTACATTTCACACTTAAACACACAAACTAGGTAGCAAGTCTACACTATTCAATACCTAAATCAATATTACTATTGATATGATTACCAAAGACAAAAGTAAAGAAAGCATGTATAATATATATCACAATACAATATTTCAATGCATTAGGAAGAAAAGGGTTGCCAGAAAGGACAAAATTTGGACAACTGGTTAAATTTTAATGTGGATAATATTAAATAATCATAATAATATATTTGTTAAATTTCCTGAATTTTGGGAAGAAAATATTTCTGTACTTAAATTTTAATACTAAGGAGAATAAAAGGGTTTCATGTCTCTCCTATGCTTCAGAGGGAAAATCATGATGAAAGGGTAGATGGAACAATAGATGGATAGACTGAGAAAAGACTGGTAATTCATAAGTCAGTGGCATCTTTTATCATGTCCTTTATCATATCTGACATCTGACTTCAGGGACTCTGATTCATCTCTGCATTTTCATGGTATCTTATCATAGTATCTGATACATTTTAGGCTTCCAGTAAATGTTTGAAGAGAGAAGATGAAATAAAAGGGTTATATAAGAAGAAAGATGTGTCATAAGAATGGTTGTGATGTAACAGTATCAATTTTGGACATCAACCCTAAGGATACAATTAAAAGGAAGTAAAAGGAACATTCTATATAGTCTATTTCATAGTCAGAGTTAAGTGGATAGTAGCTACCTCTTTGTTTTCACTTGTTTATTGATTTGCTCGAGCAGGCCCAGTAACTGTCTCCATTTTGAGACTTGTTGTTACTGTGTTTGGCATATCGAATACATCACGGGTAGCTCGCCAGGCTTTGCCGTGCAGGCGAGATTCTCTCAGTAGCTTGCCAGGCTCCCTGAGAGGGGCGGAGGAATCGAACCCGGCTTGTCCAGGCTGGCTGCATGCAAGGCTCTACCGCTATTCATAAAACTTGTAGCAAGTTAGTTGCGAAGGAATAGTAAAAGAGGTAAATAAGAACACTTACTACACTGTAATGTGACCATTGAAGTCTAAAATTATGAAAGCCAAGACAGGGAAAACACTTAAAAATAGCAGTAAATAATATTATAAATCATTACAGCCATTTATGAATATGACAAAAACCTGGACTATTATAATAAGCATGACCAATAAAGTATTAAATAATATTTATAGGTGATTTCTCCCCATTTTCCTACTTTATATGTTACTATATATATTTATAATGTAAGACTCTCAAAGGATAGTAAATACTAATTGTATGTCAAAATAGGTACTTTCATAAACCAGTGATGGACTGTAAACTGGTTAGATTATCATGAAGGACAATTTGTCAACATATACTAAAACATCTAGGGCCAGAGATATAGTACAGTGGGTACGGAACTTGCCCTGGACATGGCCAACCCAGGCTCGTTCTTTAGCATCCTATATGGTCCCCCCAAGCATCATCAGGAGTAATTCCTGAGTGCAGAGCCAGGAGAAACCCATGGTATTGCTGGGTGTGGCCCAATGCCCCCACACCCCACCAAATCACAAATTGTTGTTTATATATTTTTTATTTTTGTTGTGCTAATATTTTATTATGAAAACCAAATGTATAGCAAAAGTAAAAGACTTTCACAGTTAAAGCCCAATATCCACCAGATTCTTTTCAGGTTTGGATGTGACTACATACCAGAATGTGTAAACTGACTGGTGCCTTTTATAAGTATAACAGAAAGTAGTATTCAAGTAAAGTTCAAGATTTTAAGATAATTCCTATGGAAGACAGACACAAATTTTCTGGCTATGCTGAATGAAGTAAACTATGTGAGCAATTACTAGAGGGAGAGTTGTCACAAATGTACAATGGAGGTGCCATGACACAACTGAAGAACACAGAGAAACCACTGAAGGAAAGAACATAGAACAAAGTGTTGGGGAGCATTATAAAAACCTGAAAATGTTTTTCTTTTATTTTGAATTTACATTTTTTGGTTTGTTTACTTTTCTTTTTTTGTGGAGATGTGCCATAGTTTTTTTTTATCCATTCGTCTGTTCTCAGGCATTCAGGTTGTTTCCAGATTCTGGCTACTGTGAATAGTGCTTCAGTGAACATAGGAGTGCAGATGGTGTTTCTGCTGTGTGTTTTTGGGCCCCCAGGTTATAGTCCCAGGAGTGGTAAATGGGATCTCAATTTCTAGTTTTTTGAAGACTGTCCAAATTGTTTTCCAAAAAGACCAGACCAGTCGGCATTCCAACAAACAATGAAGGAGAGTCTCTTTCTCCCCACATTTGTGCCAGAACTGGTTGCTCTTGTTCTTTTGGATGTGTGCCACTCTCTGTGGTGTGAAATGATATCTCATTGTTGTTTTGATATGTATCTTCCTGATGATTAGTGATGAAGAGCATTTTTTCATGTGCCTTTTGGTCATTTGAATCTCTTCGTTGAGAAAGTTTCTGTTCATTTCTTCGCCCAATTTTCTGATGGGACTGGATGTTATTTTCTTGTAAAGTTCAACCTGTGACTTGTAGATCTTTGATATTTATCCTTTATCAGAAGTGTTTTGGGTGAATAACCTTTCCCATTCCAAAGGCAATCTTTGTTATTTTGGTGATTATTTCTTTTGAGGTACAGAAGCTTCTTAGTTTAATGTAGCCCTATTTGTTGATCTCTGCTTTCACTTGCTTGGTCAGTGGTATTTCATCTTTGAAGATACTTGTACTTCAATATCGTGGAGAGTTGTTTATTTTTTTAGATTTTTATTAGTGAAACATCGTGACTTCGCCTATCGCCTACCTTTTCTACCATTTACCTTATGAATTCAGCTCTGGTATCGAGGTCTTTAATCCATTTGAACTTACTTTTGTGCATGGCATTAGATAAAGGTCTGAGTCCATTTTTTACACATAGCTGTCCAGTTTTGCCAGGACCACTTGAGGTTTTCCTTGCTCCACTTCATATTTCTTGCTCGCTTATTAAGGATTAAATGATAATATATTGGACGGTGTGTGTTAGGATATTCAATTGGTCTCTGGATCTCTTTTGACTAAAACTTTTATGGCTCTCTAAGTATGGTATGTCATCTGCAAACAGTGAGAGCTTGACTTCTTTTCATATCCGAATGACCACAATATCTTTTCCTTTCCTACCTGCTATGTCAAGTATTTCCAGTACTTTACTGAACAGAAGTGTTGAGAGTGAGCATCCTTGTCTTGTCCCTGATCTTAGATAAGGGAACGCTTTCAGTTTTTCCCCACTGAGAATAATGCTTACTGTCGGCTTGTGAAGACCTGAAGGTTTTACAAGAAAATCATGCTGTGACTCTCCTAAACAGTTATGAAACACTGCCATTATTTGATTTAAACCCCCTTAACATTGGCACTAAAAGAAATGAAGAAATTAAATTTATTTTTATGTTGGTTATTCAAAGAAACAATATTTATCTCACTGTGGTTAAAATAAAATAAAATAAAATAAAACAACAGCCAGGATCCAGAGATTATCACAACAAGCTCCCGGGAGAGCACAAGGCAGAGTCTCCTACCCTATGCCTGGCTATCCTCGCCAGGGCCCAATAGCTGAAGACCTCCAGGTCCCAGCCAAGGCCTTACTGGGGCCACTCTCCACACACTTGGATAAGCCTCAGGCATAACAGAACTGGCAGAGGAAACCAGGTGTGTGGGACCCGGGGCTGAGATCTCCAAGCCTGCACGGTTTGGGACTGGACCTGTCAGTAGCTAGACAGTTATGCCCTCCAACTGCCGTGTAACCCCAACAACGGCCAGGATCCAGAGATTATCACAACAAGCTCCCGGGAGCATTCAGCCGCATTTGCGGCCACGCGACTATTTATTTACTTTTCTCTAAGTTTTCAGGGTACCTTAAATATCCCACCCGCACGGCAGAGCCTGGCAAGCTATCCGTGGTCTATGCCAAATAGACCAAATTGATATGCCAAATCCAGTAATAAATGGATCTCATTCCCCTAACCCTGAATACGCAGAGTCGAGAAGGATATGGAAGGAGAGGCTGATAAAATACCAAGGCAGAAATAGGCTGCCAAAATGCAGAAAAACAAAAATGATTGTCTGTACTTTTAATGCTCGTACACTGGCATCTACTGCATCCATTGAAGACCTTATGGTACAAGCGCGAAAGATCAAGTACGACATCATTGGTCTGACCAAAACGAGAAGACATCAATCACATCATGCCGTTTTCGACACTGGAGAAGAACTGTTCCTTGGAACATGAGATAAAAGAGGCGTCGGTGGTGTTGGTATCCTTGTCAACACAAACTTAGCCAGGAGCATTGATTCATTCGAATGCCTAACAACCCGAATCGGACGATTACACTTGAATAGATGTGGCTCACTACCGGCAGTTTCTATCTTTGTTGTCTATGCACCAACATCCAGTTATGGTGAAAGAGAAACTGAGAAGTTCTACATGGAGCTGGAGAAGTTCTATAAAGAAGATCACACCTTCTACAAGATCATTGTCGGTGATTTTAATGCCAAGATAGGACCAAGAAGATCAGTCGATGAACTCTACATCGGGACCCATGGCCTGGAATGGAACGAACAGGGTGACATACTGTCTGAGTTCATCATGTCAACCAAAACCTTCCATGGTAACTCACAGTTCCAAAAGGCTGAATCTAAACGTTGGACATGGGAGTCTCCTGATGGACGGTTCCACAATGAAATAGACCACATCATATTCAATCGGCGGTTTTGCCTAACCGATGTTGCTGTTGTCCCAAAATTCCAAACGGGATCAGACCTCCGTCTTCTTTGTGCAAAATTCTACCTCACAGAACGAGGAGAAAAGAATGCAAGGTTTAAGAAGAGGACTCCCAGAACGACCACCAACTGGGAGCTCTTTGGCTCTGTTGCGGCAACATGGGAAGATGCTGTCATTGACAACATTGATGAGGAATA